ACGGCGAAGAATTGGATTTTTTAGCCCAGAACTGGGAATTTTTGGAGGTTTTTAGCCCCAAAAATGGGAATTTCCCCCTGAAAATTCTCAAATTTCCCAGAATTCCCAAAATTCCCAAATTTCCCCACCCAAAATGCAAAAAACCCCGAGGTTTTAGCCCAAAAAAATGGCGAAAAAATCCAATTTTTAGCCCCAAAAATGAGGAAAATCAAAATTTTTGACACCAAAAATGAGGAAAAATGGATTTTTTTCTCCACGAAATTCCAGAGTTCCTGAAATTCCCAAAATTCCTGAAGTTTTAACCCCAAAAATGGCAAAAATTTGGATTTTTAGCTTCAAAAGTGAGGAAAATTCAGATTTTTTTTCCCTGAAATTCCCAAATTTCCCGACCCAAAATGCAAAAACCCCCGAGGTTTTAGCCCAAAAAAATGGCCAAAAAATCCAATTTTTAGCCCCAAAAATGCGGAAAAATCGGATTTTTTTTCCCCATAAATTTGGAGAAAAATTCGAGTTTTTTATCCTGAATTCCCAAAATTCCCGAAGTTCTTCCTGGGAAAAATGGGATTTTTTTTTTCTCATTTTTCAAGGGGAAAATCTGGAATTTTAATCGTTTTTCATGGAAAAAAAATTCCAAAAAATCCCATTTTTAACAGGAAACAATTCCGGGATTTCCCCTTTTTAATGGAAAAAATTGGGAATTTTCTCATTTTAATGAAAAAAAAAAATTGGGAATTTTTATAATTTTTGATGCAAAAAAAATCCAAATTTTTCCATTTTTTCCATGGGAAAAAAATTCCAAAAATTCCCATTTTTAATGAAAAAAATTGGGAATTTTCCTCATTTTTCAAGGAAAAAAATTCCAAAAATCCCCATTTTTAACAGGAAAAATTTCCAAATTTTCCATTTGTTATGGAAAAAATTCCAGATTTTTTTGCATTTTTAATGGAAAAAAATTCAAAAAATCCCCATTTTTAATGAAAAAAATTGGAAACTTTCCTCATTTTTCATGGAAAAAAAATTCCAAAAATTCCCATTTTTAATGGAAAAAATTGTGAATTTTCCTCATTTTTTAATGGAAAAAAATTCCGTAATTTTTCTGATTTTTCATGGAAAAAAATCTGAATTTTCACCAAATTTTAATGGAAAAAAATTCCAAAAATTCACATTTTTAATGAAAAAAAATTGGAAACTTTCCTCATTTTTCATGGAAAAAAGTTGCAAAAATTCCCATTTTTAATGGAAAAAATTGTGAATTTTCCTCCTTTTTTAATAGAAAAAAATTCCGTAATTTTTCTAATTTTTCATGGAAAAAAATCGGAATTTTCACCCATTTTTAATGGAAAAAATTCCAAAAATTCCCATTTTTAATGGAAAAAATTGTGAATTTTCCTCCTTTTTTAATGGAAAAAAATTCCGTAATTTTTCTGATTTTTCATGGAAAAAATCGGAATTTTCACCCATTTTTAATGGAAAAAATGAGGATTTTTTCCTGATTTTTCCTGGAAAAAATTCCAGAATTTTCCTTCTCCCTCTGGAATCCCGAATTTGCCCCGAATTTCCGCGGATTTGGGAATTTTTTGGGAATTTTGGGAATTTCCCTCGTTGCAGGCCCTGCAGCGGACGCTGTCGGACGAGAGTCTCTGCGGGGGGCGGCGCCAGAGCCCCAAAATCCCCAAAATCCCCAAAAACCCCAAAAACGGCCAAAATCCCCCCAAAATCCCCCCCAAAACCCCCCCCAATCCCGGGAATTCCGGGGGGAACTCCGGGAATTCTTCGGGGAATTCCGGGAATTTCCCGGAGCCGTCGGGACGAGGGCGGAGCCGGCCCGGGAGCCGAGGTGGGACAAGGCGGGTTTGGGGAAATTCGGGAATTTTGGGGAAATTTGGGAATTTTGGGGAAATTTTGGGAATTTTTTGGGAGTTTGAGGGGGTTCTGGGAGATTTTGGGGGGATTTTTGGGGGAATTTTGGGAACATTTGGGAAATTTTGGGGATTTTTTGGGAGTTTTAGGAAAATTTGGGAGATTTTGGGGAAAATTTGGGGAATTTTGGGGAAATTTTGGGAATTTTTTGGGAGTTTGAGAGGGTTCTGGGAGATTTTGGGGGGATTTTGGGAAAATATGAGAAATTTTGGGGGGATTTTTTTGGGAATTTTTGGAAAAATTGGGAAATTTTGGGAAAATTTGAGAAATTTTGGGGGGTTTGGGGGATTTTTTGGAATTTTAGGAAAATTTGGGAGATTTGGGGGAAATTTCGGAAATTTTGGGGATTTTCGGGGGAAAATTGGGAGATTTTGAGAATTTTGGGGAATTGGGGGATTTTGGGGGATTTTGGGGGGAATTTGGGAATTTTGGGGGATTTTTGGGAATTTTTTAAAAAATTGGGAAATTTTGGGGGGATTTTGGGAAAATGTGGGAATTTGGGGAATTTATTGTGAGATTTTGGGGAAATTTGGGCATATCTGGGGGTTTTTGGGAAATTTTGGGGATTTGGGGGAATTTTTTGGGAGATTGGGGGAAAATTTGGGAATTTTTTGGGAGATTTTAGGAAATTTTGGGGATTTTTAGGGGGTTTTAGCAAATTTTTGGGGGATATTGGGGGAAATTTAGGAAGTTTTTGGGAAATTGTGGGGAATTTTGGGAAAATTTTAAGAGATTTTGGGAATTTCTTGGGATTTTGGGGGAATTTTTGGGGAATTTTGGGAATTTTTTGGGGAATTTTGGGGAAAATTTGGGAGATTTTGGGATTTTTGGGAATTTGGGAATTTTGGGGAAAATTTGGGAGATTTTGGGGAAAATTTGGGGATTTTGGGACTGATGAATTTGGGTTGGGAAATTGGGATTTTGGGAGGAAAAATGGGATTTTTTGGGGGGGGATTTTAAGTGGAAAAATGGGAATTTTGGGTGGTTTTTAACCTGGATTTTTTGGGATTTTGGGCTGGAATTTTTTGGGAATTTTGGGGAATTTTGGGATTGATGAATTTGGGTTGGAAAATCGGGATTTTTGGAGAAAAAATGGGAATTTTGGGGCATTTTTGGGGAGGAATTTTTTGGGGATTGTTGGGAATTTTGGGATTGATGAATTTGGGTTGGAAAATTGGGATTTTGGGGGGATTTGGGGAGGAAAAATGGGAATTTTGGGTGGAAAAATGGGAATTTTGGGTATTTTTGGAGCATTCTCACACAGATATTTGGGATTTTGGGGTGGAATTTTGGGAATGATGGATTTGGGGAATTTCGGTTGAAAAAATGGGATTTTTATTGGGATTTTGGGGGGAAAAATGGGGATTTTTGGTGGTTTTTCACCGGGATTTTTGGGATTTTGGGGTGGAATTTTTTTGGAATTTTGGGAATTTTGGGATTGATGAATTTGGGTTGGAAAATCGGGATTTTGGGATGGATTTTGGATGAAAAAATGGGAATTTTGGGTGGAAAAATGGGAATTTTTGGGTGGTTTTTCACCGGGATTTTTGGGGTTTTGGGGTGGAATTTTTTGGGAATTTTGGGAATTTTTAGATTGATGAATTTGGGTTGGAAAATTGGGATTTTGGGATGGGTTTTGGGTGGGAAAAATGGGAATTTTGGGTGGGGAAAATGGGAATTTTGGGTGGGAAAATGGGAATTTTTGGGTGTTTTTTGACCGGGATTTTTGGGATTTTGGGGTGGAATTTTTTGGGAATTTTGGGAATTGTTGGGAATGATGGATTTGGGGAATTCCGGTTGAAAAATGGGATTTTTATTGGGATTTTGGGTGGGAATTTTGGGTGGAAAAATGCCATTTTTTGGTCGTTTTTCACACGGATTTTTGGGATTTTGGGGTGGAATTTTTTGGGAATTTTGGGAATTTTTGGATTGATGTGTTTGGGTTGGAAAATTGGGATTTTGGGATGGGTTTTGGGTGGGAAAATGGCATTTTTGGGTGTTTTTTGACCGGGATTTTTGGGGTTTTGGGGTGGAATTTTTTTGGAATTTGGGAATTTTTGGATTGATGAATTTGGGTTGGAAAATCGGGATTTTGGGATGGGTTTTGGGTGAAAAAATGGGAATTTTGGGTGGAAAATGGGAATTTTTGGTGGTTTTTGACTGGGATTTTTGGGGTTTTGGGGTGGAATTTTTTGGGAATTTTGGGAATTTTTAGATTGATGAATTTGGGTTGGAAAATCGGGATTTTGGGATGGGTTTTGGGTGGGAAAAATGGGAATTTTGGGTGGGAAAATGACATTTTTTGGTGTTTTTTGACCGGGATTTTTGGGGTTTTGGGGTGGAATTTTTTGGGAATTCGGGAATTTTTTGGGAATTTGGGAATTTGGGAATTTGGGAATTTGGGAATTCGGGTTCCAGGTGCGGCGGCGCCGGCGCTGCTGCCGCTGCCGGACGCGGCCGGGCTGGAGTGGGCGACGCTCGTCAGCGCCGCCAGAGCCTACGAGGGTGAGAACGGGCGGAAAATGGGATTTTGGGGTTAAAAATGGGAAAAATGGGGAAAAAATGGGAAAATGGGAAAAAATGGGGATTGGGGGAAAAATGGGAAAAATGGGGAAAAAATGGGGATTGGGGGAAAAATGGGGATTGGGGGAAAAACGGGAAAAATGGGATTTTGGGGAAAAAATGGGGATTTGGGGGAAAATGGGGATTTTGGGGTGAAAAACGGGGATTTGGGGAAAA